AGACCTGTGAAGACGTCTAAGGCCACACTTTATATACATGTATTCAAGACCTGTGAAAACGCCTAAGGCCACACTTTATATACATGTATTCAAGACCTGTGAAAACGCCTAAGGCCACACTTTATATACATGTATTCAAGACCTGTAAAAACGCCTAAGGCCACACTTTATATATTCAAGACCTGTGAAAACGTCTTAGGCCACACTTTATATATTCAAGACCTGTGAAAACGCCTAAGGCCACACTTTATATATTCAAGACCTGTGAAAACGTCTAAGGCCACACTTTTTATATTCAAGACCTGTGAAAACGCCTAAGGCCACACTTTACATACATGTATTCAAGACCTGTGAAACGCCTAAGGCCACACTTTATATATTCAAGACCTGTGAAAACGTCTAAGGCCACACTTTATATATTCAAGACCTGTGAAAACGCCTAAGGCCACACTTTATATACATGTATTCAAGACCTGTAAAACGCCTAAGGCCACACTTTATATATTCAAGACCTGTGAAAACGCCTAAGGCCACACTTTATATACATGTATTCAAGACCTGTAAAACGCCTAAGGCCACACTTTATATATTCAAGACCTATAAAACGCCTGAGGCCACACTTTATATACATGTATTCAAGACCTGTAAAACGCCTAAGGCCACACTTTATATACATGTATTCAAGACCTGTAAAACGCCTAAGGCCACACTTTATATATTCAAGACCTGTGAAAACGTCTTAGGCCACACTTTATATATTCAAGACCTGTGAAACGCCTAAGGCCACACTTTATATACATGTATTCAAGACCTGTGAAAACGCCTAAGGCCACACTTTATATACATGTATTCAAGACCTGTGAAAACGCCTAAGGCCACACTTTATATACATGTATTCAAGACCTGTAAAACGCCTAAGGCCACACTTTATATATTCAAGACCTGTGAAAACGTCTTAGGCCACACTTTATATATTCAAGACCTATAAAACGCCTGAGGCCACATTTTATATACATGTATTCAAGACCTGTAAAACGTCTAAGGCCACACTTTATATATTCAAGACCTATAAAACGCCTAAGGCCACACTTTATATATTCAAGACCTGTAAAGAAGTCTAAGGCCACACTTTATATACATATATTCAAGACCTGTAAAGACGCCTTAGGCCACACTTTTTATGTTCAAGACCTGTGAAAACGTCTAAGGCCACACTTTATATATTCAAGACCTGTGAAAACGCCTAAGGCCACACTTTATATACATGTATTCAAGACCTGTGAAAACGCCTAAGGCCACACTTTATATATTCAAGACCTGTGAAAACGCCTAAGGCCACACTTTATATATTCAAGACCTGTAAAGAAGTCTAAGGCCACACTTTATATACATATATTCAAGACCTGTAAAGACGCCTTAGGCCACACTTTTTATGTTCAAGACCTGTTGAAAACGCCTAAGGCCACACTTTATATACATGTATTCAAGACCTGTGAAAACGTCTAAGGCCACACTTTATATATTCAAGACCTGTGAAAACGTCTAAGGCCACACTTTATATATTCAAGACCTGTGAAAACGCCTAAGGCCACACTTTATATACATGTATTCAAGACCTGTAAAACGCCTAAGGCCACACTTTATATATTCAAGACCTGTGAAAACGTCTAAGGCCACACTTTATATATTCAAGACATGTAAAGCGCCTAAGGCCACACTTTATATACATGTATTCAAGACCTGTAAAACGCCTAAGGCCACACTTTATATACATGTATTCAAGACCTGTAAAACGCCTAAGGCCACACTTTATATATTCAAGACCTGTGAAAACGTCTTAGGCCACACTTTATATATTCAAGACCTATAAAACGCCTAAGGCCACATTTTATATACATGTATTCAAGACCTGTAAAACGTCTAAGGCCACACTTTATATATTCAAGACCTATAAAACGCCTAAGGCCACACTTTATATATTCAAGACATGTAAAACGCCTAAGGCCACACTTTATATATTCAAGACCTGTGAAAACGTCTTAGGCCACACTTTATATATTCAAGACCTGTGAAACGCCTAAGGCCACACTTTATATACATGTATTCAAGACCTGTAAAACGCCTAAGGCCACACTTTATATATTCAAGACCTGTGAAAACGTCTTAGGCCACACTTTATATATTCAAGACCTATAAAACACCTGAGGCCACATTTTATATACATGTATTCAAGACCTGTAAAACGTCTAAGGCCACACTTTATATATTCAAGACCTATAAAACGCCTAAGGCCACACTTTATATATTCAAGACCTGTAAAGAAGTCTAAGGCCACACTTTATATACATATATTCAAGACCTGTAAAGACGCCTTAGGCCACACTTTTTATGTTCAAGACCTGTGAAAACGTCTAAGGCCACACTTTATATATTCAAGACCTGTGAAAACGTCTAAGGCCACACTTTATATATTCAAGACCTGTGAAAACGCCTAAGGCCACACTTTATATATTCAAGACCTGTGAAAACGCCTAAGGCCACACTTTATATATTCAAGACCTGTGAAACGCTTTATATATTCAAGACCTGTGAAAACGCCTAAGGCCACACTTTATATATTCAAGACCTGTAAAGAAGTCTAAGGCCACACTTTATATACATATATTCAAGACCTGTAAAGACGCCTCTGGGCCACACTTTTTTTCCATGCCTAAGGCCACACTTTTATGTTCAAGACCTGTTGAAAACGCCTAAGGCCACACTTTATATACATGTATTCAAGACCTGTGAAACGTCTAAGGCCACACTTTATATACATGTATTCAAGACCTGTGAAAACGCCTAAGGCCACACTTTATATATTCAAGACCTGTGAAAACGTCTAAGGCCACACTTTATATATTCAAGACATGTAAAGCGCCTAAGGCCACACTTTATATACATGTATTCAAGACCTGTAAAACGCCTAAGGCCACACTTTATATATTCAAGACCTGTGAAAACGTCTTAGGCCACACTTTAATATATTCAAGACCTATAAAACGCCTGAGGCCACATTTTATATACATGTATTCAAGACCTGTAAAACGTCTAAGGCCACACTTTATATATTCAAGACCTATAAAACGCCTAAGGCCACACTTTATATATTCAAGACCTGTAAAGAAGTCTAAGGCCACACTTTATATACATATATTCAAGACCTGTAAAGACGCCTTAGGCCACACTTTGATATGTTCAAGACCTGTTAAAATCATTAGACAACTGAGTGAGAGGTACACATGTCCGGGGCACAGTAGTACTACTTAACGTGACTTGATACAGTGATTCACTATATCTCGAAAACATATCGGTGTCCGAGCATGTGTGAAGGCTGTGTTTTTGTGGGTGTTGTCCCAGAGTTTCATCCAGATCAGGTTTACCCTCACCTCACAATACACTTCACAGGTGCTGCTCTGTCTGTCGTTATCAGTGATTATCAATGGTTACATTCACACCAGCACCACAGCGACAGCTTTCATGGTTACAACTGAAACTGCTACATCTACATGTATATCACAAGCTAACTGTGGAGGCAATTGTAAAATATCAGTTTTGGAATCACTGAAGGAGAATTTTGAATTCTTGAAAGACAGATCATGCAACAAAAGGAAGTTTATTGAGCACCACAAATAGTGCAAATATTTCATTTAAATAATATATTTCCTTACAAAGCCTTTTGGCCGCATTTTAGTTACTGGTCAAGTGTTAATTAGATCTGAGTGGTACAAGATATTCAAGTGTTAATTCGATCTGAGTGGTACAAGATATTCAAGTGTTAATTAGATCTGAATGGTACAAGATATTCAAGTGTTAATTAGATCTGAGTGGTACAAGATATTCAAGTGTTAATTAGATCTGAGTGGTACAAGATATTCAAGTGTTAATTAGATCTGAATGGTACAAGATATTCAAGTGTTAATTAGATCTGAGTGGTACAAGATATTCAAGTGTTAATTAGATCTGAGTGGTACAAGACATTCAAGTGTTAATTCGATCTGAGTGGTACAAGATATTCAAGTGTTAATTAGATCTGAATGGTACAAGATATTCAAGTGTTAATTCGATCTGAGTGGTACAAGACATTCAAGTGTTAATTCGATCTGAGTGGTACAAGATATTCAAGTGTTAATTCGATCTGAGTGGTACAAGATATTCAAGTGTTAATTTGATCTGAGTGGTACAAGATATTCAAGTGTTAATTAGATCTGAGTGGTACAAGATATCCAAGTATTAGTTAGAACTGAGAGGTACAAGATATTCAAGAATTAGTTAGATCTGAGTGGTACAAGTTATTCAAGTGTTAATTAGATCTGAGTGTTCAAGTATTAGTTAGATCTGAGTGGTTCAAAACATTCAAGTGTTAATTAGATCTGAGTGGTACAAGATATCCAAGTATTAGTTAGAACTGAGTGGTACAAGATATTCAAGAATTAGTTAGATCTGAGTGGTACAAGTTATTCAAGTGTTAATTAGATCTGAGTGTTCAAGTATTAGTTAGATCTGAGTGGTACAAAACATTCAAGTGTTAATTAGATCTGAGAGTGACGACGATATTTAAACGTTATTTAGATCAGAGTATGATAACGTATTCATGTGTTACCAAGATCTGAGTGTTACACAATATTAAAAGGGGCACTGATCCAGAGCGATTAGTTTCACGCTAACCAGTGGCGGATCCGGGGAGGGGGGGTTAGGTAGGTCAGGGGGTTCCCCTTTTGAAAATGACTTAAGAAAAAAAAGAAATTGCGTTGGCGGAGCCAAGGGGGGGTTCAGGGTTTTTTAACCCCCTAAATACCAAAACCACCAACAGTACAGATTTCATATAACATATAAAATGAACGGGAGAAAAGTAGAAAAGTAGAAAAGTAAAATGAACACCGAAAACATCAGTTACTGTGAACACATTATAGCGCGGTAGCTGGAATACTTCCTCCCTACCACACTGAATTCTCCCTTGCGGTCACTTCCTGTACCAAGGGTCGTTTCCGGAGGGTGGCAGTCATTCAGTTTGTTGACATCGTATTGTTTACCACGTTCCCGCTATGACAGTTGTCAGCATACAGTTATAAGATATGGCCAACAAGAAAAAAGCGTGAGTTGATCTATGTGATAATGGTTTTTTTGTGTTTGTTTCCAAACGTGGACATTTTTTAAAGATTTAAGTTTGGTAGATTTCCGAAATGATCAGTCTATCTTGAGGCCAGTGACTCAGATCCACATGGCTTTGACGCCAGGTTTGTGTGAAACAACGTGTAAATGACAAACCAAGTCTTATAGCGTTGAGGCCGATAGTCGTACCAGTAGGGTTAGTCATGACATACCTGTCAGATATTGTTGTTGAGCTAGTCGTGCTAGTACTGATCATCTGTCAGGGAGTGAGATACACTGTCGGTATGTAAACTAGTACACTATAATTAGTTGTTGAGCTAATTGTGCTAGTTCTGATCATCTGTCAGGGAGTGAGATACACTGTCGGTATGTAAACTAGTACACTATAATTAGTTGTTGAGCTAGTCGTGCTAGTACTGATCATCTGTCAGGGAGTGAGATACACTGTCAGTATGTAAACTAGTACACTATAATTAGTTGTTTAGCTAATCGTGCTAGTACTGATCATCTGTCAGGGAGTGAGATACACTGTCGGTATGTAAACTAGTACACTATAATTAGTTGTTGAGCTAGTCGTTCTAGTACTGATCATCTGTCAGGGAGTGAGATACACTGTCGGTATGTAAACTAGTACACTATAATTAGTTGTTGAGCTAATCGTGCTAGTACTGATCATCTGTCAGGGAGTGAGAAACACTATCGGTATGTAAACTAGTACACTATAATTAGTTGTTGAGCTGGTACTGATCATCTGTCAGGGAGTGAGATACACTGTCTGTATGTAAACTAGTACACTGTAATTAGTTGTTGAGCTAATCGTGCTAGTACTGATCATCTGTCAGGGAGTGAGAAACACTATCGGTATGTAAACTAGTACACTATAATTAGTTGTTGAGCTGGTACTGATCATCTGTCAGGGAGTGAGATACACTGTCGATATGTAAATTAGTACACTATAATTAGTTGTTTAGCTAATTGTGCTAGTACTGATCATCTGTCAGGGAGTGAGATACACTGTCAGTATGTAAACTAGTACACTATAATTAGTTGTTGAGCTAGTCGTGCTAGTACTGATCATCTGTCAGGGAGTGAGATACACTGTCGGTATGTAAACTAGTACACTATAATTAGTTGTTTAGCTAGTCGTGCTAGTACTGATCATCTGTCAGGGAGTGAGATACACTGTCGGTATGTAAACTAGTACACTATAATTAGTTGTTGAGCTGGTACTGATCATCTGTCAGGGAGTGAGATACACTGTCGATATGTAAATTAGTACACTATAATTAGTTGTTGAGCTAGTCGTGCTAGTACTGATCATCTGTCAGGGAGTGAGATACACTGTCAGTATGTAAACTAGTACACTATAATTAGTTGTTGAGCTGGTACTGATCATCTGTCAGGGAGTGAGATACACTGTCGATATGTAAATTAGTACACTATAATTAGTTGTTGAGCTAGTCGCGGCTAGTACTGATCATCTGTCAGGGAGTGAGATACACTGTCAGTATGTAAACTAGTACACTATAATTAGTTGTTGAGCTGGTACTGATCATCTGTCAGGGAGTGAGATACACTGTCGATATGTAAATTAGTACACTATAATTAGTTGTTGAGCTAGTCGTGCTAGTACTGATCATCTGTCAGGGAGTGAGATACACTGTCGGTATGTAAACTAGTACACTATAATTAGTTGTTGAGCTGGTACTGATCATCTGTCAGGGAGTGAGATACACTGTCGATATGTAAATTAGTACACTATAATTAGTTGTTGAGCTAGTCGTGCTAGTACTGATCATCTGTCAGGGAGTGAGATACACTGTCAGTATGTAAACTAGTACACTATAATTAGTTGTTGAGCTAGTCGTGCTAGTACTGATCATCTGTCAGGGAGTGAGATACACTGTCGGTATGTAAACTAGTACACTATAATTAGTTGTTGAGCTAGTCGTCTTGCTAGTACTAATCATCTGTCAGGGAGTGAGATACACTGTCGGTATGTAAACTAGTACACTATAATTAGTTGTTGAGCTGGTACTGATCATCTGTCAGGGAGTGAGATACACTGTCGGTATGTAAACTAGTACACTATAATTAGTTGTTGAGCTGGTACTGATCATCTGTCAGGGAGTGAGATACACTGTCGGTATGTAAACTAGTACACTATAATTAGTTGTTGAGCTGGTACTGATCATCTGTCAGGGAGTGAGATACACTGTCGGTATGTAAACTAGTACACTATAATTAGTTGTTGAGCTGGTACTGATCATCTGTCAGGGAGAGAGATACACTGTCGGTATGTAAATTAGTACACTATAATTAGTTGTTTAGCTAATCGTGCTAGCACTGATGATCTGTCAGGGAGTGAGATACACTGTCGGTATGTAAACTAGTACACTATAATTAGTTGTTGAGCTAGTCGTTCTAGTACTGATCATCTGTCAGGGAGTGAGATACATTGTCGGTATGTAAACTAGTACACTATAATTAGTTGTTGAGCTAATCGTGCTAGTACTGATCATCTGTCAGGGAGTGAGATACACTGTCGGTATGTAAACTAGTACACTATAATTAGTTGTTGAGCTAGTCGTTCTAGTACTGATCATCTGTCAGGGAGTGAGATACATTGTCGGTATGTAAACTAGTACACTATAATTAGTTGTTGAGCTAATCGTGCTAGTACTGATCATCTGTCAGGGAGTGAGATACACTGTTAGTACATGTAAACTAGTACACTATAATTAGTTGTTTAGCTAGTCGTGCTAGTACTGATCATCTGTCAGGGAGTGAGATACACTATCGGTATGTAAACTAGTACACTATAATTAGTCGTTGAGCTAGTCGTGCTAGTACTGATCATCTGTCAGGGAGAGAGATACACTGTCAGTATGTAAACTAGTACACTATAATTAGTTGTTGAGCTAATCGTGCTAGCACTGATGATCTGTCAGGGAGTGAGATACACTGTCGGTATGTAAACTAGTACACTATAATTAGTTGTTGAGCTAATTGTGCTACCACTGATCATCTGTCAGGGAGTGAGATACACTGTCGGTATGTAAACTAGTACACTATAATTAGTTGTTGAGCTAATCGTGCTAGTACTGATCATCTGTCAGGGAGTGAGATACACTGTCGGTATGTAAACTAGTACACTATAATTAGTTGTTGAGCTAGTCGTGCTAGTACTGATCATCTGTCAGGGAGTGAGATACACTTTCGGTATGTAAACTAGTACACTATAATTAGTTGTTGAGCTAATTGTGCTAGTACTGATCATCTGTCAGGGAGTGAGATACACTGTCGGTATGTAAACTAGTACACTATAATTAGTTGTTGAGCTAATCTTGCTAGTACTGATCATCTGTCAGGGAGTGAGATACACTGTCGGTATGTAAACTAGTACACTATAATTAGTTGTTGAGCTAATTGTGCTAGTACTGATCATCTGGCAGGAGGTGAGATACGCTGTTAGTACATGTAAACTAGTACACTATAATTAGTTGTTGAGCTAATCGTGCTAGTCCTGTTCATCTGTCAGGGAGTGAGATAGGCTGTCGGTATGTAAACTAGTACACTATAATTAGTTGTTGAGCTAGTCGTGCTAGTACTGATCATCTGTCAGTGAGTGAGATATCCTGTTAGTACATGTAAACTAGTACACTGTAATTAGTTGTTGAGCTAATCGTGCTAGTACTGATCATCTGTCAGTGAGTGAGATATCCTGTTAGTACATGTAAACTAGTACACTATAATTAGTTGTTGAGCTAATCGTGCTAGTACTGATCATCTGTCAGGGAGTGAGATATCCTGTTAGTACATGTAAACTAGTACACTATAATTAGTTGTTGAGCTAGTCGTGCTAGTACTGATCATCTGTCAGTGAGTGAGATATCCTGTTAGTACATGTAAACTAGTACACTGTAATTAGTTGTTGAGCTAATCGTGCTAGTACTGATCATCTGTCAGGGAGTGAGATATCCTGTTAGTACATGTAAACTAGTACACTATAATTAGTTGTTGAGCTAATCGTCCCAAGCTAGTGCTAGTACTGATCATCTGTCAGGGAGTGAGATATGCTGTTAGTACATGTAAACTAGTACACTATAATTAGTTGTTGAGCTAGTCGTGCTAGTACTGATCATCTGTCAGGGAGTGAGATATGCTGTTAGTACATGTAAACTAGTACACTATAATTAGTTGTTGAGCTAGTCGTTCTAGTACTGATCATCGGTCAGGGAGTGAGATATGCTTTCTATGTAAACTAGTACACTGTAATTAGTTGTTGAGCTAATCGTGCTAGTACTGATCATCTGTCAGGGAGTGAGATACACTGTCAGTATATGTAAACTAGTACACTATAATTAGTTGTTGAGCTAGTCGTGCTAGTACTGATCATCTGTCAGGGAGTGAGGTACGCTGTCTATGTAAACTAGTACACTATAATTAGTTGTTGAGCTAGTCGTGCTAGTACTGATCATCTGTCAGGGAGTGAGATACGCTGTCTATGTAAACTAGTACACTATAATTAGTTGTTGAGCTAATAGTGCTAGTACTGATCATCTGTCAGGGGTGAGATACACTGTCGGTATGTAAACTAGTACACTATAATTAGTTGTTGAGCTAATCGCTAGTACTGATCATCTGTCAGGGTGAGGTACACTGTCTGGTATGTAAACTAGTACACTATAATTAGTTGTTGAGCTAATAGTGCTAGTACTGATCATCTGTCAGGGAGTGAGGTAGGCTGTTGAGTATGTAAACTAGTACACTTTAATTAGTTGTTGAGCTAATAATGCTAGTACTGATCATCTGTCAGGGAGTGAGATATGCTGTCTATGTAAACTAGTACACTATAATTAGTTGTTGAGCTAATCGTGCTAGTACTGATCATCTGTCAGGGAGTGAGATACACTGTCGGTATGTAAACTAGTACACTATAATTAGTTGTTGAGCTAATCGTGCTAGTACTGATCATCTGTCAGGGAGTGAGATATGCTGTTGATGTAAACTAGTACACTATAATTAGTTGTTGAGCTAATCGTGCTAGTACTGATCATCTGTCAGGGAGTGAGATACGCTGTTGATATGTAAACTAGTACACTATAATTAGTTGTTGAGCTAATCGGTGCTAGTACTGATCATCTGTCTGATCATCTGTCTTCATGTAAACTAGGGGTTGTTGAGCTAATCGTGCTAGTACTGGTCACTGTTGGTATGTAAACTAGTACACTATAATTAGTTGTTGAGCTAATCGTGCTGGTGCTGATCATCTGTCAGGGAGTAAGATACGCTGTTAGTACATGTAAACTAGTACACTATAATTAGTTGTTGAGCTAATCGTGCTAGTATTGGTCATCTGTCAGGGGGCTAGGTATGCTGCCCACAGCAGGTGCTGGAACTGGGAAGGTTTGAAGGTTTCAGCCCTTCAGCCATACAAGAATGCCATCAATGTCTCTCACATTTTCGATGAAAAGTTTCAGGAAACTAGAAATTCCATGAATTCAAGTGAGTTCACAATATTCACTTGATGAATAGATTTTTAAAAGCAGTTTGAAACCGTTAGGCTGATGTGACTTCTGGTTACTGGCTCTCAAGTATTCTGTACACTTGCTTGCTTATGATGTGTAGACTATCTTCACTAGGAACGACCATCACCTTCAATTCTGTTTTTCACTCCTGACATTTCAGTGACCTGAAGGTCATCATCATGGGTGACTTTGCAGTTGGGAAAACTTCACTCATCTGTCGATACATTGAAGGGAAATTCAAAACCCAGGAACCGGTTTGTATCTGATGATGAATGTGAAATAGGAAGTCAAGTGTGTGTGCAGTGTATCTATCATTGGTGTAGTCTGTATTTAGTCTGTCTCTAAGTCCCTCAACCATAATATTGTCAGACAAACCCTTTCTGTAATGCAAAAGCATAAATGAAGTAAGTCTAGATTTCCCTCAGGCTCTGAATCTCCGACCTCACTGACACTGCTCAGTTTAAGCAGTTTTCAAACCAAATTATGTTTTCAGAGACACAGAATTAGTCCAGTATCTGGTCTGTAGTTTAATACAGAAAGTGTTGTTTGTAGTGTGTAATGTGTAGTGTGCTCTTTGTAGTGTGTAATGTGTAGTGTGTAGTGTGTAATGTGAAGTGTGTTGTTTGTAGTGTGTAATGTATAGTGTGTTGTCTGTAGTGTGTAATGTGTAGTGTATTGTTTGTAGTGTGTAATGTGTAGTGTTAAATGTGTAGTGTGTTGTTTGTAGTGTGTAGTGTGTAATGTGTAGTGTTCTATTTGTAGTGTGTAATGTGTAGTGTGTAATATGTAGTGTGTTGTTTGTAGTGTGTAATGTGTAGTGTTTTGTTTGTAGTGTGTAATGAGTAGTGTTTAATGTGTAGTGTTCTGTTTGTAGTGTGTAATGTGTAGTGTGCTGTTTGTAGTGAGTAGTGTGTTGTTTGTAGTGTGTAATGTGTAGTGTTCTGTTTGTGGTGTGTAGTGTGTTGTTTGTAGTGTGTAATGTGTAGTGTGTTGTTTGTACTGTGTAATGTGTAGTGTGTTCTCTGTAGTGTGTAATGTGTAGTGTTCTGTTTGTAGTGTTTAATGTGTAGTGTGCTGTTTGTAGTGTGTAATGTCTAGTGTGTTGTTTGTACTGTGTAATGTGTAGTGTGTAATGTGTAGTGTTCTGTTTGTAGTGTGTAATGTGTGAGTGTTCTGTTTGTAGTGTGTAATGTGTAATGTGTTGTTTGTAGTGTGTAATGTGTAGTGTTCTGTTTGTAGTGTGTAATGTGTAGTGTGTTGTTTGTAGTGTGTAATGTGTGGTGTGTTGCTCGTAGTGTGTAGCGTGTGATGTGTAGTGTTCTGTTTGTAGTGTGTAATGTGCTGTTTGTAATGTGTAGTATGTTGTTTGTAGTGTGTAATGTGTAGTGTGTAATGGGTGTTGTGTTGTCTGTAGTGTGTAATGTGTAGTGTTCTGTTTGTAGTGGGTAATCTGTAGTGTGTTGTCTGTAGTGTGTAATGTGTAGTGTGCTGTTTGCAGTGTGTAATGTGTAGTGTTTTGTTTGTAGTGTGTAATGTGTAGTGTGTTGTTTGTAGTGTGTAATGTGTAGTGTTCTGTTTGTAGTGTGTAATGTGTAATGTGTTGTCTGTAGTGTGTAATGTGTAATGTGTAGTGTTCTGTTTGTAATGTGTAGTGTGTTGTTTGTAGTGTGTAATGTGTAGTGTTCTGTTTGTAGTGTGTAATGTGTAATGTGTTGTCTGTAGTGTGTAATGTGTAATGTGTTGTCTGTAGTGTGTAATGTGTAATGTGTAGTGTTCTGTTTGTAATGTGTTGTCTGTAGTGTTTAATGTGTAATGTGTTGTCTGTAGTGTGTAGTGTGTAATGTGCAGTGTGTTGTTTGTAGTGAGTAATGTATAGTGTGTTGTTTGTAGTGTTTAATGTGTAGTGTTATGTTTATAGTGTGTAATGTGTAGTGTGTTGTCTGTTATCTAGTGTGTAATGTGTAGTGTGTTGTCTGTAATGTGTAATGTGTTGTTTGTAGTGTGTAACGTGTATTGTTCTGTTTGTAGTGTGTAATGTGTTGTCTGTAGTGTGTAATGTGTTGTCTGTAGTGTGTAATGTGTAATGTGTTGTCTGTAGTTTGTAATGTGTAGTGTGTTGTTTGTACTGTGTAATGTGTTGTTTGTTCTCTGTAGTGTGTAATGTGTAGTGTGCTGTTTGTAGTGAGTAATGTATAGTGTGTTGTTTGTAGTGTTTAATGTGTAGTGTTATGTTTGTAGTGTGTAATGTGTAGTGTGTTGTCTTTAGTGTGTAATGTGTAGTGTGTTGTTTGTACTGTGTAACGTGTATTGTTCTGTTTGTAGTGTGTAATGTGTTTGTCTTTAGTGTGTAATGTGTTGTTTGTTCTTTGTAGTGTGTAATGTGTAGTGTGCTGTTTGTAGTGAGTAATGTATAGTGTGTTCTTTGTAGTGTTTAATGTTTAGTGTTATGTTTGTAGTGTGTAATGTGTAGTGTGTTGTCTGTAGTGTGTAGTGTGTTGTTTGTACTGTGTAACGTGTATTGTTCTGTTTGTAGTGTGTAATGTGTTGTCTCTGTAGTGTGTAATGTGTTGTCTGTAGTGTGTAGTGTGTTGTTTGTACTGTGTAACGTGTATTGTTCTGTTTGTAGTGTGTAATGTGTTGTCTTTAGTGTGTAATGTGTAGTGTGTTGTTTGTACTGTGTAATGTGTTGTTTGTTGTGTGTAATGTGTTGTCTGTAGGGTGTAATGTGTAATGTGTTGTCTGTAGCGTGTAAATTAATGTGTAATGTGTTGCCTGTAGTGTGTAGTGTGTAATGTGTAGTGTTCTGTTTGTTCTGTGTAATGTGATTTTTGTAGTGTGTAATGTGTTGTCTGTAGTGTGTAATGTGTTGTTTGTAGTGTGTAATGTGTAGTGTGCTGTTTGTAGTGAGTAATGTATAGTGTGTTGTTTCTAGTGTGTAATGTGTAGTGTTCTGTTTGTAGTGTGTAATCTGTAGTGTGTAATGTGTAGTGTGTTCTTTGTAGTGTGTAATGTGTAGTGTGTAATGGGTGTTGTGTTGTTTGTAGTCTTTAATTTGTAGTGTGTTGTTTGTAGTGTGTAATGTGTAGTGTGTTGTTTCTAGTGTGTATTGTGTAGTGTGTTGTCTGTAGTGTGTAATGTGTCGTGTGTTGTTCGTAGTGTGTAACATGTATTGTTCTGTTTGTAGTGTGTAATGTGTTGTCTGTAGTGTGTAATGTGTTGTCTGTAGTGTGTAATGTTTAATGTGTTGTCTGTAGTGTGTAATGTGTAATGTGTAGTGTTCTGTTTGTTCTGTGTAATGTGTTGTTTAGTGTGTAATGTGTAGTGTTCTGTTTGTAGTGTGTAATGTGTAGTGTGCTGTTTGTAGTGTGTAATGTGTTGTCTGTAGAGTGTAATGTGTAGTGTGTTGTTTGCAGTGTGTAATGTGTAGTGTGCCGTTTGCAGTGTGTGATCTGTAGTGTGTTGTCTGTAGTGTGTAATGTGTAGTGTTAAATGTGTAGTGTGCTGTTCCTAGTGTATAATGTAATGTGTCTTTGTAGTGTGTAGTGTACTGTTTGTAGTGTGTAATGTGTAGTGTGTTTGTAGTGTGTAATGTGTAGTGTGTTTGTAGTGTGTAATGTGTAGTGTGTTTGTGGTGTGTAATGTGTAGTGTGTTTGTTGTGAGTAATGTGTAATGTATTGTTTGTAGTGTGTAGTGTGTAATGTATAGTGTGTTGTTTTTAGTGTGTAATGTATAGTGTGTTGTTTGTTGTGAGTAAAATGTGGTGTGTAGTGTGTTCTTTTAAGTGTATCATTGTCAAGTGTTTATTCCTAATGAAAGTAACATGCTCATATACAGTATTCAATTACACTCCTTTATTTTGGTACATGGGTTTCAATTGAATAATGTCCCAAGATAACAATGTTTGTCGTTTATATAGAGAGACATTCTCTTCCCACAGAGGTTACTCCTGTCATATCTTCCTACGTAACCTCTGTTCTAATACGGCCATATTTCCCGGTTCTCGTAAAATCCCCTAGCGGCAAAAGATCGCAACACGAATTATCTCCCTTTCTTTCTATCCAATTAGAACACGTGTTACATCGACTTAGATTCAACTTGACTAACACAAGCAAATGTGAGGCCACAAATATCCCCCATCTGCCGGGGACTTGTGTTGATGTTACACACAAGACGTTTAATGGCTAGCTTGTCCGTTGTCAACGAGGGCGATGGAGACGCCACTGATCCGCCATAACATGACTGAGTTCTGTCTAGAAGAAACGTTTGCGCATCGCGCAGGGGAAGAGGTTTAGTTTTCTCGAAGTATATGGAAATTACCGAGGCCTTGCGAATGATCACTTTTGAAACAACGTCGCTGATTGCACAACTAAATCTGATTGTCTCCAATCACGAGTCTTGAACGCTCACACCATGAAAGGGCCGTATTAGAACAGAGGTTACGTAGGAAGATATGACAGGAGTAACCTCTGTGGGAAGAGAATGATAGAGAGATAGAAATGCAATTTGTCAACCTTTTCAATTCCACTACCCCAGCTTGCAAGTTAAGATTCTTAGTACACATCAAACTTGGCTCTCTGAATAATCTGATGTTGACCATTCTGTTGCCAGACAATTGGAGCTGCCTTCTTCCTGAAACAGTGGGGCCCCTACAACGTGGCCGTGTGGGTACGTAGCTTCTTATGAGATGAATCACTTGATTGTTTTGCAGGACACACAAATGTGCGTCCAGTACCCACAAATGTAGAGAATAGATGCAGAAAACCCAGAGTGATGCACAAAGATACAAAGAGCGTACCTACAGTGCATCAAGAGTAGTAATCTGTGTCGGTTATTTCACCCATCAGTCATGACCACTGTCCACATGATTCATTACAGTAATTACAGGAATGTACACTCCACCGTTTCAATGCTCTACACAACCCTCGTTTTACCAGTGAGTCTTTCAGTCTTTGAATTTAACGTTGAACGTAAGTTACAAGGTAATATATGTCACGCAGTAGAACTGTAAGATGGTTAAGGTGTTTAACAGTTAAAGCCAAATATATTCATTCCCATTTTGTATGATTCCATTTTTTGTATGATTCCATTTTTTCCATTCTGTTTTCGTGAAAGGAAACGTTTTATTTTTAGGCTTCTGATTTTAATCTTTGATACAATGTAAATGTGTTTGTGTGGTTCAGTCAATTCTGGATCTTAACAGGTATTATGTGGCGTCAACAGTGTGAAATACACTTTACTGAGTACACATTCTTTATGTTTTTCAGATGTATTGTTTCTTTATTCGAAGTTTGAATCAAAACAAGAACAAAAGAGTTCATTTTCTTGCTGTCTATGTTGATGCTACTAGTTACCCATGAACGTAAATTACTTAGGCGCTTAGGTACCTTACTTAAAACTAGTGCTGCAAGTTTAATAACGTTCACTGGGTGCTGAAAAAGTACAGACTGTTCATTTACAAGTTGTAGTTTTGGAAAATAAACTGAAGTGATTTTGTTTTTCTTCAATATCCTCTCTGAATTGTACAGTTTAGTTGGGAATGACTGGATGACTGAAGTCCGTAAGATAATTTAATATGAAGATTATTTGAAAATATATGGGTACTTAGAGTGTGTCCCATCAATGTGAGAGACTCAGAGTTAATAATAATAATTTTTCCTTATCCTGACTGGATTAGAGCGGTGATCTTAAGGGCCTACAAAGCAGCAGGTTTAGAACCTCCAAGAGCATCTAACCCTCATGAAGTAAGAGCATTGGCCTCGGCACTCGCCCTACATGGAAACTGCTCAATATCATCTATCTGGCTGCTTTTGGAAGTCAGACACTGTCTTCGCTAACCACTACCTGAGAGACATCTCCACGGAAGATGTATCTGGTATACATCAATTCGACCCTCTAGTCGTAGTGCAGCAACTCACTATGCCGGCCAGACAATGAAGAATCTCACCCTTGTCACGCAGACTCGTTGACGCCAGGCAACTGTTCCTTTAACATCGGCTAAGAGTCCATGTTCCCCTGTTTTACGAGATAAAACAGTGCATGAGTGATACATAGACTCAGTTATGGTAATGTTCTTGCCTTAACAGATGGGTTGCGATACCAGTTTTGGTAATGTTCTTACCGTAAACATATTGGATCGTTGCAGAATATCTAGACAGCATAACGTCTAGTATACTCAATCCACAAGTACAGTTACTGAAGACACTTGATGTGATGGAGGTCGTGTTAGGCAAGTACAGTTACTTAAGACACTTGATGTGAGGGAGGTCGTGTTAGGCAAGTACAGTTACTGAAGACACTTGATGTGAGGGAGGTCGTGTTAGGCAAGTACAGTTACTGAAGACACTTGATGTGAGGGAGGTCGTGTTAGGCAAGTACAGTTACTGAAGACACTTGATGTATGGGAGGTCGTGTTAGGCAAGTACAGTTACTGAAGACACTTGATGTGAGGGAGGTCGTGTTAGGCAAGTACAGTTACTGAAGACACTTGATGTATGGGAGGTCGTGTTAGGCAAGTAGTTACTGAAGACACTTCATGTGAGGGAGGTTGTGTTAGGCAAGTACAGTTACTGAAGACACTTGATGTGAGGGAGGTCGTGTTAGGCAAGTACAGTTACTGAAGACACTTGATGTATGGGAGGTCGTGTTAGGCAAGTACAGTTACTGAAGACACTTGATGTGAGGGAGGTTGTGTTAGGCAAGTACAGTTACTGAAGACACTTAATATGAGGGAGGTCGTGTTAGGCAAGTACAGTTACTGAAGACACTTGATGTATGGGAGGTTGTGTTAGGCAAGTACAGTTACTGAAGACACTTCATGTGAGGGAGGTTGTGTTAGGCAAGTACAGTTACTGAAGACATTTGATGTGAGGGAGGTCGTGTTAGGCAAGTACAGTTACTGAAGACACTTGATGTGAGGGAGGTTGTGTTAGGCAAGTACAGTTACTGAAGACACTTGATGTGAGGGAGGTTGTGTTAGGCAAGTACAGTTACTGAAGACACTTGATGTGAGGGAGGTCGTGTTAGGCAAGTACAGTTACTGAAGACACTTGATGTATGGGAGGTCGTGTTAGGCAAGTACAGTTACTGAAGACACTTGATGTGAGGGAGGTTGTGTTAGGCAAGTACAGTTACTGAAGACACACTTGATGTTAGAAGGAGGTCGTGTTAGGCAAGTAGTACAGTTACTGAAGACACTTGATGTATGGGAGGTTGTGTTAGGCAAGTACAGTTACTGAAGACACTTGATGTATGGGAGGTCGTGTTAGGCAAGTACAGTTACTGAAGACACTTGATGTATGGGAGGTTGTGTTAGGCAAGTACAGTTACTGAAGACACTTGATGTGAGGGAGGTTGTGTTAGGCAAGTACAGTTACAGTTACTGAAGACAGGTGCGTGTTAGACTTCAGTTATGAGGGATGAGGTATGGGAGGTCGTGTTAGGCAAGTACAGTTACTGAAGACACTTTACTGAAGACACTTGATGTGAGGAGGTCGTGTTAGGCAAGTACAGTTACTGAAGACACTTGATGTGAGAGGTCGTAGGCATATACAGTTACTGAAGACACTTGATGTATGGGAGAGGTACGTGTTAGGCAAGTACAGTTACTGAAGACACTTGATGTATGGGAGGTCGTGTTAGGCAGAGTGTTAGGCAAGGTACAGTTACTGAAGACACTTGATGTGAGGGAGGTTGTGTTAGGCAAGTACAGTTACTGAAGACACTTGATGTGAGGGAGGAAGACACTTGTGTATGGGAGGCAAGTACAGTTACTGAAGACACTTGATGTATGAGGAGGTCGTATTAGGCAAGTACAGTGTTAGATGTATGCAGGTCGTGGTTAGGCAAGTACAGTTACTGAAGACACTTGATGTGAGGGAGGTCAGTGTTAGGCAAGTACAGTTACTGAATACACTTGATGTGAGGGAGGTTGTGTTAGGCAAGTACAGTTACTGAAGACACTTCATGTGAGGGAGGTCGTGTTAGGCAAGTACAGTTACTGAAGACACTTGATGTATGGGAGGTCGTGTTAGGCAAGTACAGTTACTGAAGACACTTGATGTATGGGAGGTCGTGTTAGGCAAGTACAGTTACTGAAGACACTTGATGTGAGGGAGGTCGTGTTACGTGTTAGGTACAGTTACTGAAGACACTTGATGTATGGGAGGTCGTGTTAGGCAAGTACAGTTACTGAAGACACTTGATGTATTGGAGGTACTGAAGACACTTGATGTGAGGGAGGTCGTGTTAGGCAAATACAGTTACTGAAGACACTTGATGTATGGGAGGTACTGAAGACACTTGATGTGAGGGAGGTCGTGTTAGGCAAATACAGTTACTGAAGACACTTGATGTATGGGAGGTACTGAAGACACTTGATGTATGGGAGGTACTGAAGACACTTGATGTTTGGGAGGTACTGAAGACACTTGATGTATGGGAGGTTGTTATCACTGCTTTGGTTGTTGTTGCAGGACACCGCAGGAGATGAGCGCTACACCGGCCTCTCCAACTTCTACTGCCGTAATGCTGGAGTTGCCATCCTGGCGTATGATATATCCAGTGACAAGTCATTCGAGTCTCTATGGTAATACTTGACAACCTTGAACCTCTAGTGTAACATGGTAACTTACTTGAACCTCTAGTGTTACATGGTAACTTACTTGAACCTCTAGTGTTACATGGTAACTTACTTGAACCTCTAGTGTTACATGGTAACTTACTTGAACCTCTAGTGTTACATGATAATTTACTTGAACCTCTAGTGTGACTCACGCCGAAGACCTGGGTTCGAATCCCCACATGGGTACAATGAGTGAAGCCCATTTCTGGTGTCCCCAGCCGTGATATTGCTTGAATATTGCTAAAAGCGGCGTAAAACCAAACTCAGTCAGTCAGTCTAGTGTGACATGGTAACTTACTTGAACCTCTAGTGTTACATGGTAACTTACTTGAACCTCTAGTGTAACATGATAACTGACTTGAACCTCTAGTGTAACATGATAACTGACTTGAACCTCTAGTGTAACATGATAACTGACTTGAACCTCTAGTGTAACATTATAACTGACTTGAACCTCTAGTGTAACACGATAAGTGACTTGAACCTCTAGTGTAACATTATAACTGACTTGAACCTCTAGTGTAACACGATAACTGACTTGAACCTCTAGTGTAACATGATAACTGACTTGAACCTCTAGTGTAACATGATAACTGACTTGAACCTCTAGTGTTACATGGTAACTTACTTGAACCTCTAATGTAACACGATAACTGACTTGAACCTCTAGTGTTACATGGTAACTTACTTGAACCTCTAGTGTAACACGATAACTGACTTGAACCTCTAGTGTAACATTATAACTGACTTGAACCTCTAGTGTAACACGATAACTGACTTGAACCTCTAGTGTAACATTATAACTTACTTGAACCTCTAGTGTAACATGATAACTGACTTGAACCTCTAGTGTTACATGGTAACTTACTTGAACCTCTAGTGTAACACGATAACTGACTTGAACCTCTAGTGTAACATGGTAACTGGCTTGAACCTCTAGTGTAACACGATAACTTACTTGAACCTCTAGTGTAACATTATAACTGACTTGAACCTCTAGTGTAACACGATAACTGACTTGAACCCCTAGTGTAACATTATAACTGACTTGAACCTCTAGTGAACCTCTAGTGTAACATGGTAACTGACTTGAACCTCTAGTGTAACATTATAACTGACTTGAACCTCTAGTGTAACATTATAACTGACTTGAACCTCTAGTGTAACACGATAACTGACTTGAACCTCTAGTATAACATTATAACTGACTTGAACCTCTAGTGTAACACGATAACTGACTTGAACCTCTAGTGTAACACGATAACTGACTTGAACCTCTAGTGTAACATTATAACTGACTTGAACCTCTAGTGTAACATTATAACTGACTTGAACCTCTAGTGTAACACGATAAGTGACTTGAACCTCTAGTGTAACATTATAACTGACTTGAACCTCTAGTGTAACACGATAACTGACTTGAACCTCTAGTATAACATGGTAACTGACTTGAACCTCTAGTGTAACATTATAACTGACTTGAACCTCTAGTGTAACATTATAACTGACTTGAACCTCTAGTGTAACACGATAACTGACTTGAACCTCTAGTATAACATTATAACTGACTTGAACCTCTAGTGTAACACGATAACTGACTTGAACCTCTAGTGTAACACGATAACTGACTTGAACCTCTAGTGTAACATTATAACTGACTTGAACCTCTAGTGTAACATTATAACTGACTTGAACCTCTAGTGTAACACGATAAGTGACTTGAACCTCTAGTGTAACATTATAACTGACTTGAACCTCTAGTGTAACACGATAACTGACTTGAACCTCTAGTGTAACATGGTAACTGACTTGAACCTCTAGTGTAACATTATAACTGACTTGAACCTCTAGTGTAACATGGTAACTTACTTGAACCTCTAGTGTAACATGGTAACTGACTTGAACCTCTAGTGTAACACAATAACTGACTTGAACCTCTAGTGTAACACGATAACTGACTTGAACCTCTAGTGTAACATTATAACTGACTTGAACCTCTAGTGTAACATGGTAACTGACTTGAACCTCTAGTGTAACATTATAACTGACTTGAACCTCTAGTGTAACACGATAACTGACTTGAACCTCTAGTGTAACACGATAACTGACTTGAACCTCTAGTGTAACATTATAACTGACTTGAACCTCTAGTGTAACACGATAACTGACTTGGACCTCTAGTGTAACACGATAACTGACTTGAACCTCTAGTGTAACATTATAACTGACTTGAACCTCTAGTGTAACATGGTAACTGACTTGAACCTCTAGTGTAACATGGTAACTGACTTGAACCTCTAGTGTAACATTATAACTTACTTGAACCTCTAGTGTAACTTGAACCTTGAACCTCTAGTGTAACACGATAACTGACTTGAACCTCTAGTGTAACATTATAACTGACTTGAACCTCTAGTGTAACATGGTAACTGACTTGAACCTCTAGTGTAACATTATAACTGACTTGAACCTCTAGTGTAACATTATAACTGACTTGAACCTCTAGTGTAACATGGTAACTGACTTGAACCTCTAGTGTAACATTATAACTGACTTGAACCTCTAGTGTAACATGGTAACTGACTTGAACTTCTGGTGTTACACAGTAGCCTACCTGAACCTCTGATGTCATGTTACAATTCCAACTTTCAGGGCCAGATTCAACCCCTTACTTTCTGCTGCACATGAAGATTGCCTGAAAGTTGTAGTTGGAACCAAGCTTGATCAGGTCACACCAACATCTCGCGCAGTTACCATTGAGGAAGGTCTAAAGTTAGCACAGGAACTCAACGAACACCTGGATGTTTCAAAACTGCCAAAATGCCCATACTTCGAGACCTCCAGCTTGACTGGCCACAATGTGAAGGACTTGTTTGAGTGTATATTTCAGTACCGGCTCCCAATCAATGACACAGACAAAGCCAGACAGGTCAACGACACGGTGGATCTGTACGAGACTGGCAGCTCCGGGTCAAAGAAGGGTGGTTGTTGTTGATGCTATTGGCTATATGTATGCACTTAAATGTTGTCACACATGCTGTGTATGTGTGGGGTCACTCAGCCATATTGTGTGAATGTGTGACATCACTCGGCCATATTGTGTGACGTTACTCAGCCATATTGTGTGTATGTGTGACGTCACTCAACCATATTGTATGTCTGTGTGATGTCATTCAACCATATTTTGTGACTTCACTCAGCCATATTGTGTGTATGTGTGATGTCACTCAGCCATATTGTGTGTATGTGCGATGTCACTCAGCCATATTGTTTGTATGTGCGATGTCACTCAGCCATATTGTATGTATGTGTGATGTCATTCAACCATATTTTGTGACTTCACTCAGCCATATTGTGTGTATGTGTGACGTCACTCAAACATATTGTGTCTGTGTGACATCATTCAACCATATTTTGTGACTTCACTCAGCCATATTGTGTGTATGTGCGATGTCACTCAGCCATATTGTGTGTATGTGTGAAGTCACTCAGCCATATTGTGTGTATGTGTGATGTCACTCAGCCCTATTGTATGTGTGATGTCACTCAGCCATATTGTGTGTATGTGTGATGTCACTCAGCCCTATTGTGTGTATGTGTGATGTCACTCAGCCATATTGTGTGTATGTGTGAAGTCACTCAGCCATATTGTGTGTATGTGTGATGTCACTCAACCATATTTTGTGACGTCACTATGCCATATTGTGTGCATGTGCGATGTCACTCAGACGTCCCCTAACCATGTCTTGATCACTTGGGTGACGTCACTCGGTCATATTTCTTTACTTGTGTTGAAGAAGCATAGCGTATTGTGTCATGTATCTCAGCCATATTGTGGATTCTTGGGTGACGTCACTCAGCTGTCGTGTGTATTTGTGTCATGACATGCAGTCACAGTGTGACATCAGACTGCTGCTTCCTACTATCGACATGAAACTTGTGTCACTGATAAAATCTGGCATAAACTGTTGTAGTTGAATAAAGTTTTAATTGACACATATCAATTTACGTTTTTATTCAGAACCCTGCTTCTGCCCATAATCCATGCATGTACGTTTCCTCAGTCATGTGAAATATCTACATTTCTATCACACTGTTATTGCATATATTTATTAGTGACCAATATTTGGTGTTGCTGATTTTCAGTCTCCATGATCCAGTAGTAATTATGTTACAGCGGAGTGCCAACGATAAAGTGACTTCATTGTTCGTGATGTTGACAGGGAAACAGAGTGGCCAAGAACAGGGCCATGTCATGACTGAAGCTGTGGTGTAATGGATGAATTGGTGCCAAGTGACTGTTTATGTGAATGTTCAGTAGTACATAGTAGAAGCCTAATTACATGTGCAGAGCTTGTCTAAAATGTTTCTTTCGAGAAGTTCTTTTAGTGATCTTGATATCCTGCTTTGGAGACAGGATCGAACATGGAAATATCTCTGATTCAGCATTCAATAGTAAACCCAATGCTTTCACTGATGGCAATTCACTCATTTAAATGTTAATCTCTTTCAGTCTTCTGGTATTTCTTGGAGAACTGGTATTGAATTTGAGACCCACTGGCAAGCTTGCATTCCTGCAATCCTCCATAGATGTTTGTAGAGCTCTATAGTTCTGCTGTTTGGAAATTTCTGAAATTATTCCAGAGGATCCAAGCAGCCTATTCTAAACATTGTGATTTGTTGATTTTGTCTATGATTCTGCATCGAGATATAGTGATCCTGTGTACATAGCTTTTGTATCTCTGTATAACCAGTTATACATACGTATATATAATTCATAATAAAGAATGTACATAGAGTCAGTGTGTTTGTGTGATTTGTATTGGCTACAAATTGGAACAGGCTGGATGAGGGTTGGTGTGATGGTGATAGATGGAGTGAAGGTGATGGATGTGTGAAGGTGATAGATGGAGTGAGTTTAGATCTACATCACTTTTAGCAATATTCCAACAATATCACGTCGGGGAACACCAGAAATGGGCTTCACATATTGTGCCCATGTGGGGAATCGACCCTGGGTCTTCGGCGTGACGAGCGAACGCCTTAACCACTAGGCTACCCCACCGCTCATAAAGGGATGGAGTGAAGGTGATGGGTGGAGTGAAGGTGATGGGTGGAGTGAAGGTGATGGGTGGAGTGAAGGTGATGGGTGAAGTGAAGGTGATGGGTGGAGTGAAGGTGAGGGATGGAGTGAAGGTGATTGATGGAGTGAAGGTGATGGATGGAATGAAGGTGAGGGATGGAGTGAAGGTGATGGGTGGAGTGAAGGTGATTGATGGAGTGATGATGATGGATGGAGTGAAGCCAATGGATGGAGTAAAGGTGGTTGATGGAGTGATGATGATGGATGGAGTGAAGCCGATGGATGGAGTAAAGGTGGTTGATGGAGTGAAGGTGATGGGTGGAGTGAAGGTGATTGATGGTGTGAAGGTGAGGGATGGAGTAAAGGTGATTGATGGAGTGAAGGTGAGGGATAAAGTGAAGGTGATGGGTGGACTGAAGGTGATTGATGGAGTGAAGGTAAGGGATGGAGTGAAGGTGATGGATGGAGCGAAGGTGATTGATGGAGTGAAGGTGATGGGTGTAGTGAAGGTGAGAGATGGAGTGAAGGTGATGGATTGAGTGAAGGTGAGAGATGGAGTGAAGGTGAGAGATGGAGTGAAGGTGATGGTTGAGTGAAGGTGATGGATGGAGTGAAGGTGAGGGATGAAGTGAAGGTGATGGGTGGAGTGAAGGTGATGGATTGAGTGAAGGTGAGAGATGGAGTGAAGGTGATGGAGTGAAGGTGATGGATGGAGTGAAGGTAAGGGATGGAGTGAAGGTGATTGATGGAGTAAAGGTGATGGATGGAGTGAAGGTGATGGATAGAGTGAAGGTGATGGGTGGACTGAAGGTGATTGATGGAATTAAGGTGATGGATGGAGCGAAGGTGATGGATGGAGTGAAGGTGATGGGTGTAGTGAAGGTGAAAGATGGAGTGAAGGTAATGGATGGAGTGAAGGTGAGGGATGAAGTGAAGATGAGGGATGGAGTGAAGGTGATGGATGGAGAGGGATGGAGTGAAGGTGATGGATGGAATGAAGGTGATTAATGGAGTGAAGGTGATGGGTGGAGTGAAGGTGATTGATGGAGTGAAGGTGATGGGTGTAGTGAAGGTGATGGATGGAGTGAAGGTGATTAATGGAGTGAAGGTGATGGATGGAGTGAAGGTAAGGGATGGAGTGAAGGTGATGGCTGAGTGAAGGTGATGGGTGGAGTGAAGGTGCTGGGTGGAATGAAGGTGAGGGATGGAGGGAAGGTGATGGGAGAGTGAAGGTGATGGATTGAGTGAAGGTGATGGATTGAGTGAAGGTGATGGATGACAGATGGGTTGAAGGTGATGGATGGGGGAAGGTGAAGGATGGGGGAAGGTGAGGGATGGAGTGAAGGTGAGGGATGGAGTGAAGGTGATGGATGGAGTGAAGGTGAGGGATGGTGTGAAGGTGAGGGATGGAGTGAAGGTGAGGGATGGAGTGAAGGTGAGGGATGGAGTGAAGGTGATGGATGAGGATGGTGAGGGATGGTGTGAAGGTGATGGATGGAGTGAATGTGTTGGATGGGGAAGGTGAGGGATGGAGTCAAGGTGAGAGTGAAGGGCTTGTCAAGGGTGAGGGTGAAGGCAGGGTTTGTGGGTGGGTAGGCTTGGCTAGGGTGAGTGAGGGGCTAGTTGTGGGGCCTTGGCCAGGGTGATAGTGAGATGTGGGTTGGCAGGTGGGTGAGGGTGAGAGTGAGGGGTTGGGTGTGGGGTTGGGTGTGGGGCTGGCCAGAGTGAGAGTGATATGTGGGTGGGCTTGGCCAGGGTGAGAATGAGGGGTTTTGGGGTTTTGGGGTGGCATTTAGCCAGGGTGAGAGTGAGGTTGTAAGAGTGAGGGTGGTTGGGAGGGTGAAAGTAGCATTAGCCATGGTGTGAGTGAGGGTTGGGTGTGGGGGTTTGGCCAGGGTGAGAGTGAGGGGCTAGGTGTGGGTGCTTGGCCAGGGTGAGAGTGAGGAGTGGGTGTGGGGGTTTGGCCAGGGTAAGTGTGAGGGAGTGAGGACTGTTTCAGGTGTAAGTGAGCTGATTGCGGGGGCTTTGCTGTGCTGTACTGTGCCGTGCCGTGCCGGGGTGAGGGTGACATTGAAATTAAGGGGGTGGGTGTGGAGGCTTGGCCAGGGCAAAAGAGATTAGGGGTGGGGTGTTTGGGCTGGGTTAGGTGTGGGTGAGAGGCTGGGTTAGGTGTGGGTGAGAGGCTGGGTTAGGTGTGGGTGAGGGGCTGGGTTAGGTGTGGGTGAGGGGCTGGGTTAGGTGTTGGTGAGAGGCTGGGTTAGGTGTGGGTGAGAGGCTGGGTTAGGTGTGGGTGAGAGGCTGGGTTAGGTGTGGGTGAGGGGCTGGGTTAGGTGTGGGTGAGGGGCTGGGTTAGGTGTGGGTGAGAGGCTGGGTTAGGTGTGGGTGAGGGGCTGGGTTAGGTGTGGGTGAGAGGCAAGGTTAGGTGTGGGTGAGGGGCTGTGTTAGCTGTGGGTGAGAGGCTGAGTTTGGTTTGGGTGAGGGGCTGGGTTTGGTTAAGAGCATGATGTGGGCTCAGTTTGATGAGCTTGATGAGAGTGAGGATTTGGATAACACGTAGAAGATATCCTCAAGAGTTACAAACACTCCATGAAGCAAAGTCAACTGCACATTATGAAATTAATACATGATGTTTATTTGATTGGTGTTCATACAGCAAAGAGCAAGTCTGGAGATCTACTTTCTCGAACAGATAGGTTCAAATAGCTAATGACATGTGCCATCACAGCACATCCAGCAACCATGTGTGCAAAAATGTGATCCTAGGCACACCCAACAACCATGTGTGTCATCTGTAGAATGTGATCCTGGGCACACCCAACAACCATGTGTTCCAGCTGTAGAATGTGATCCTGGGCACACCTAACAACCATGAGTGCCAGCTGTAAAATGTGATTCTGGGCACAACCAACAACCATGTGTGCCAGCTGTAGAATGTGATCTTGGGCACAACCTACATCCAAGTGCGCCAGCTGTAGAATGTGATCCTGGGCACAACCAACAACCATGTGTGCCAGCTGTAGAATGTGATCTTGGGCACAACCTACATCCATGTGTGCCAGCTGTAGAATGTGATCCTGGGCACAACCAACAACCATGTGTGCCATCTGTAGAATGTGATCCTGGGCACACCCAACAACCATGTGTGCCAGCTGTAGAATGTGATCCTGGGCACACCTAACAACCATGAGTGCCAGCTGTAAAATGTGATTCTGGGCACACCCAACAACCATGTGTGCCAGCTGTAGATTGTGATCTTGGGCACAACCTACATCCAAGTGTGCCAGCTGTAGAATGTGATCCTGGGCACAACCAACAACCATGTGTGCCAGCTGTAGAATGTGATCTTGGGCACAACCTATATCCAAATGTGCCAGCTGTAGAATGTGATCCTGGGCACAACCAACAACCATGTGTGCCATCTGTAGAATGTGAACCTGGGCGCACCCAACAACCATGTGTGCCATCTGTAGAATGTGATCCTGGGCACATGACCTCTTGTCATAATGGACATGCAGTGCTAACACAACAAGCTTGCCCTCTGTCACTCTCTTCCATGCACAACTCACACAGGATCAACATGACACTGTACAACCACAAAGGGATACAGCCTTCCTCCTAACGTTAGTGTGCGATGGACTGTCCTCTCATACACATGGAAATATACTATAAAATGTCATTTCATCAAGATGTACTATCTTCCACTGCCCCAGTCTGGATCAGCACAACCTGGACCAGCACCTCACTGCAGCCCTCATCACTCCACCTCCCCCAGCACATGCTTCTCCTTCTCCTTGACGTCCGGGACGGCCCCGGGCTTACTGTGTGCTTTACGGTTGCTCTCCCTGAAAATACAGCACACTTGTATACAAATGCATAAACACCCCAGGTTTGCCTTAAAAGATAAACACTGACTGCATTTAGACCAACAGTGACTGCATAAGATTGCATTAATAGTAAAAATATACACTGCAATAAGGTTGCCATAAGCCTTGCCCTAATCAGTAAAGCTGCTTACTTTCGCCTGTGTGAAGCTCTGATGAGTTTTATTTCCTTGGCACCATTGTAGACAAACTTGGGCACATGGCGATGCCGTGAAATACGGCGGACTTGCGGATGGTGTCCAAACTTTTCCTTCAGTTTCTCATTGTAGTTGAAAGCAGTTTTCTCCCTCGGTTTCAGCTGTCAAGAAAACCAACACATGTCCAGGTGAGCTGAATACATACATATAGTGTTGAATGAAGGTAATCATCTAGTGACAGCCCTGATGATCTAGTGACAGACCTGATGAACTAGCGAAAGCCCTGATGATCTAGTGACAAATCTGATGATCTAGCGACAACCCAGATGACCTAGCTACAGCCCTGATGCTCTAGTGACAGCCTTGATGATAAAGTGACAGCCCTGATGATAAAGTGACAGACCTGATGATCTAGTGACCGCCCTGTTGATCTAGTGACTGCCCTGTTGATCTAGTGACATCCCTGATGATCTAGTGACAGACCTGATGAACTAGTGACATCCCTGATGATATAGTGCCAGACCTGATGATCTAGTGACAGACCTGATGAACTAGTGACATCCCTGATGATCTAGTGACAGCCATGATGATCTAGTAACAGACCTGATGATCTAGTGACAGACCTGATGATCTTGTGACCGCCCTGATCATCTAGCGACAGCCCTGATGATCTAGTGACAGCCCTAATGATCTAGTGGCAGCCCTGATGATATAGTGACAGACCTGATGATCTAGTGACCGCCCTGATGATATAGTGACTGCCCTGATGATATAGTGACCGCCCTGTTGATATAGTGACAGCCGTGATGATAAAGTGACAGACCTGATGATCTAGTGACCGCCCTTTTGATGTAGTGACTGCCCTGATGATCTAGTGACATCCCTGATGATATAGTGACCGCCCTGTTGATCTAGTGACTGCCCTGTTGATCTAGTGACAGCCATGATGATCTAGTAACAGACCTGATGATCTAGTGACAGACCTGATGATCTTGTGACCGCCCTGATCACCTAGTGACCGCCCTGTTGATCTAGTGACCGCCCTGTTGATCTAGTGACTGCCCTGATGATCTAGTGACTGCCCTGATGATCTAGTGACCACCCTGATGATATAGTGACAGCCTTGATGATCTAGCAACAGCCCTGATCATCTAGCCACAGCCCTGATGATCTAGTGACTGCCCTGATGATCTAGTGACCACCCTGATGATATAGTGACAGCCTTGATCATCTAGCAACAGCCCTGATCATCTAGTCACAGCCCTGACGCTCTAGTGACATCCCTGTTGATAAAGTGACAGACCTGATGATCTTGTGACCGCCCTGATCATCTAGCGACAGCCCTGATGATCTAGTGACAGCCCTAATGATCTAGTGGCAGCCCTGATGATCTAGTGACAGACCTGATGATCTAGTGACTGCCCTGATGATCTAGTGACTGCCCTGATGATATAGTGACCGCCCTGTTGATATAGTGACTGCCCTTTTGATCTAGTGACATCCCTGATCATCTGGTGACAGCCCTAATGATAAAGTGACAGACCTGATGATCTAGTGACCGCCCTTTTGATCTAGTAACTGCCCTGATGATCTAGTGACATCCCTGATGATATAGTGACCGCCCTGTTGATCTGGTGACTGCCCTGATGATCTAGTGACATCCCTGATGATCTAGTGACTGCCCTGTTGATCTAGTGACTGCCCTGATGATCTAGTGACTGCCCTGATGATCTAGTGACCACCCTGATGATATAGTGACAGCCTTGATGATCTAGCAACAGCCCTGATCATCTAGCCACAGCCCTGACGCTCTAGTGACATCCCTGTATATAAAGTGACAGACCTGATGATCTTGTGACCGCCCTGATCATCTAGCGACAGTCCTGATGATCTAGTGACTGCCCTCATGATCTAGTGACCACCCTGATGATATAGTGACAGCCTTGATGATCTAGCAACAGCCCTGATCATCTAGCCACAGCCCTGACGCTCTAGTGACATCCCTGTATATAAAGTGACAGACCTGATGATCTTGTGACCGCCCTGATCATCTAGCGACAGCCCTGATGTTCTAGTGACAGACCTGATGATCTAGTGACCGCCCTGATGATCTAGCGACAGCCCTGATGTTCTAGTGACAGACCTGATGATATAGTGGCAGCTCTGAATGATCTAGTGACAGTCCTGATGATTTAGTGGCAGTCCTGATGATCTAGTGACAGATCTAATAATCTAGTTACAGCCCTGATGATCTAGCGACAGTCCTGATGATCTAATGTCAGATCTGATGTTCTAGTGACAGATCTGATGATCTAGTGATCTAGCGACAGCCCTGATGATGTAGTGACAGCCCTGATGATCTAGCGACAGCCCTGATGATGTAGTGACAGCCCTGATGATCTAGCAACAGCCCTGGTGATCTGATGTCAGATCTGATGATCTATGACAGCCCTGGTGATGTAGTGACAGACCTGATGATGTAGTGACAGCCCTGATGATCTAGTGACTGCCCTGATGATCTAGTGACTGCCCTGGTGATCTAGTGACAGATCTGATGATCTAGTGTGAGCCCTGATGATCTAGTGACAGCCCTGATGATGTAGTGACAGACCTGATGATGTAGTGACAGCCCTGATGATCTAGTGACTGCCCTGATGATCTAGTGACAGATCTGATGATCTAGTGTGAGCCCTGATGATCTAGTGACAGTCCTGATGATCTAGCAACAGCCCTGGTGATCTGATGTCAGATCTGATGATCTATGACAGCCCTGATGATGTAGTGACAGACCTGATGATCTAGTGACAGCCCTGATGATCTAGTGACAGCCCTGATGATCTAGTGACAGATCTGATGATCTAGTGACAGCCCTGATGATCTAGTGACAGCCCTGATGATGTAGTGACAGCCCTGATGATCTAGCAACAGCCCTGGTGATCTGATGTCAGATCTGATGATCTATGACAGCCCTGATGATTTAGTGACAGATCTGATGATCTAGTGAGAGCCCTGATGATCTAGTGATAGCCCTGAAGATCTAGTGAGAGCCCTAATGATCTAGTTGCAGCCCTGATGATCTAGTGATAGATCTGATGATGTAGTGACAGCCCTGATGATTTAGTGACAGCCCTGATGATCTAATGTCAGATCTGATGATCTAGTGTCAGATCTGATGATCTAGTGACAGCCCTGATGATCTAGCAACAGCCCTGATTATCTAGCGACAGCCCTGATGATGTAGTGATAGCCCTGATGATGTAGTGATAGCCCTGATCTAGTGTCAATCACAACATTTATATCCTACAAAGAAAAGCACACACACCACACCCAGTTTCTCTGAAGCATTTGCTTTCCATACTCTGATGTTCATCTCGTCTGAGGCGGACAGGATGTACTTATTGTCGAGAGACCACTGAACCACATTGACACGCTGCATCCGCTTGGCATGGTAGATCTCTCTGTAAACAACAAACAGAATTAGACACATGGAATCAAGGTTTGTGTCTGAGATACATATGGAAGCAAGACATGTTTGTCTGACATACATATGGAAGCAAGACATGTGTCTGACATACATATGGAAGCAAGACATGTGTCTGACATACATATGGAAGCAAGATGTGAGTCTGATATACATATGGAAGCAAGACGTGTCTGACATACATATGGAAGTAAGATGTGTGTCTGACATACATATGGAAGCAAGATGTTTGTCTGAGATACATATGGAAGCAAGACGTGTCTGACATACATATGGAAGCAAGACATGTGTCTGACATACATATGGAAGCAAGATGTGTGTCTGACATACATATGGAAGCAAGACATGTGTCTGACATACATATGAAAGCAAGACATGTGTCTGACATACATATGGAAGCAAGATGTGTGTCTGAGATACATATGGAAGCAAGACATGTGTCTGACATACATATGGAAGCAAGACATGTGTCTGACATACATATGGAAACAAGATGTTTGTCTGAAATACATATGGAAGCAAGACATGTGTCTGACATACATATGGAAGCAAGATGTGTGTCTGACATACATATGGAAGCAAGACATGTGTCTGACATACATATGGAAGCAAGATGTGTGTCTGACATACATATGGAAGCAAGACATGTGTCTGACATACATATGGAAGCAAGATGTGTGTCTGACATACATATGGAAGCAAGATGTGTGTCTGACATACATATGGAAGCAAGACATGTGTCTGACATACATATGGAAGCAAGATGTGTGTCTGACATACATATGGAAGCAAGACATGTGTCTGATATACATATGGAAGCAAGACGTGTGTCTGACATACATATGGAAGCAAGAGATGTGTCTGACATACATATGGAAGCAAGATGTGAGTCTGACACATATGGAAGCAAGATGTGTGTCTGACATACATATGGAAGCAAGACATGTGTCTGACATACATATGGAAGCAAGACATGTGTCTGACATACATATGAAAGCAAGACGTGTCTGACATACAAATGGAAGCAAGATGTGAGTCTGACATACATATGGAAGCAAGATGTGTGTCTGACATACATATGGAAGCAAGACATGTGTCTGACATACATATGGAAGCAAGACATGTGTCTGACATACATATGGAAGCAAGATGTGTGTCTGACATACATATGGAAGCAAGACATGTGTCTGACATACATATGGAAGCAAGATGTTTGTCTGAGATACATATGGAAGCAAGACGTGTCTGACATACATATGGAAGCAAGATGTGTGTCTGACATACATATGGAAGCAAGACGTGTCTGACATACATATGGAAGCAAGACATGTGTCTGACATACATATGGAAGCAAGACGTGTCTGACATACATATGGAAGCAAGATGTGTGTCTGAGATACATATGGAAGCAAGACATGTGTCTGACATACATATGGAAGCAAGACATGTGTCTGACATACATATGGAAGCAGGATGTTTGTCTGACATACATATGGAAGCAAGACATGTGTCTGACATACATATGGAAGCAAGATGTGTATCTGACATACATATGGAAGCAAGACATGTGTCTGACATACATATGGAAGCAAGATGTGTGTCTGACATACATATGGAAGCAAGACATGTCTGACATACATATGGAAGCAAGATGTGTGTCTGACATACATATGGAAGCAAGATGTGTGTCTGACATACATATGGAAGCAAGACATGTGTCTGACATACATATGGAAGCAAGATGTGTCTGACATACATATGGAAGCAAGACATGTGTCTGATATACATATGGAAGCAAGACGTGTGTCTGACATACATATGGAAGCAAGACGTGTCTGACATACATATGGAAGCAAGATGTGAGTCTGACATACATATGGAAGCAAGATGTGTGTCTGACATACATATGGAAGCAAGACATGTGTCTGACATACATATGGAAGCAAGACATGTGTCTGACATACATATGAAAGCAAGACGTGTCTGACATACAAATGGAAGCAAGATGTGAGTCTGACATACATATGGAAGCAAGATGTGTGTCTGACATACATATGGAAGCAAGACATGTGTCTGACATACATATGGAAGCAAGACATGTGTCTGACATACATATGGAAGCAAGATGTGTGTCTGACATACATATGGAAGCAAGACATGTGTCTGACATACATATGGAAGCAAGATGTTTGTCTGAGATACATATGGAAGCAAGACGTGTCTGACATACATATGGTAGCAAGATGTGTGTCTGACATACATATGGAAGCAAGACGTGTCTGACATACATATGGAAGCAAGACATGTGTCTGACATACATATGGAAGAAGACATGTGTCTGACATACATATGAAAGCAAGACACGTGTCTGACATACAAATGGAAGCAAGATGTGAGTCTGACATACATATGGAAGCAAGATGTGTGTCTGACATACATATGGAAGCAAGACATGTGTCTGACATACATATGGAAGCAAGACATGTGTCTGACATACATATGGAAGGAAGATGTGTGTCTGACATACATATGGAAGCAAGACATGTGTCTGACATACATATGGAAGCAAGATGTTTGTCTGAGATACATATGGAAGCAAGACGTGTCTGACATACATATGGAAGCAAGATGTGTGTCTGACATACATATGGAAGCAAGACGTGTCTGACATACATATGGAAGCAAGACATGTGTCTGACATACATATGGAAGCAAGACGTGTCTGACATACATATGAAACAAGATGTGTGTCTGAGATACATATGGAAGCAAGACATGTGTCTGACATACATATGGAAGCAAGACATGTGTCTGACATACATATGGAAGCAAGATGTTTGTCTGACATACATATGGAAGCAAGACGTGTCTGACATACATATGGAAGCAAGATGTGTGTCTGACATACATATGGAAGCAAGACATGTGTCTGACATACATATGGAAGCAAGACATGTGTCTGACATACATATGGAAGCAAGACATGTGTCTGACATACATAAGCGAAGCAAGATGTGAGTCTGACATACATATGGAAGCAAGATGCGTGTCTGACATACATATGGAAGCAAGATGTGTGTCTGACATACATATGGAAGCAAGATGTGTCTGACATACATATGGAAGCAAGACATGTGTCTGACATACATATGGAAGCAAGACATGTGTCTGACATACATATGGAAGCAAGACGTGTCTGACATACATATGAAACAAGATGTGTGTCTGAGATACATATGGAAGCAAGACATGTGTCTGACATACATATGGAAGCAAGACATGTGTCTGACATACATATGGAAGCAAGATGTTTGTCTGACATACATATGGAAGCAAGACGTGTCTGACATACATATGGAAGCAAGATGTGTGTCTGACATACATATGGAAGCAAGACATGTGTCTGACATACATATGGAAGCAAGACATGTGTCTGACATACATATGGAAGCAAGACATGTGTCTGACATACATAACAGAAGCAAGATGTGAGTCTGACATACATATGGAAGCAAGACGTGTCTGACATACATATGGAAGCAAGATGTGTGTCTGACATACATATGGAAGCAAGATGTGTCTGACATACATATGGAAGCAAGACATGTGTCTGACATACATATGGAAGCAAGACATGTGTCTGACATACATATGGAAGCAAGACATGTGTCTGACATACATATGGAAGCAAGACATGTGTCTGACATACATATGGAAGCAAGATGTTTGTCTGACATACATATGGAAGCAAGACATGTGTCTGACATACATATGGAAGCAAGACGTGTCTGACATACATATGGAAGCAAGACATGTGTCTGACATACATATGGAAGCAAGATGTGTGTCTGACATACATATGGAAGCAAGACGTGTCTGACATACATATGGAAGGAAGATGTGTGTCTGACATACATATGGAAGCAAGACATGTGTCTGACATACATATGGAAGCAAGATGTGTGTCTGAGATACATATGGAAGCAAGACATGTGTCTGATATACATATGGAAGCAAGATGTGTGTCTGACATACATATGGAAGCAAGATGTGTGTCTGACATACATATGGAAGCAAGACATGTGTCTGACATACATATGGAAGCAAGATGTGTGTCTGACATACATATGGAAGCAAGACATGTGTCTGACATACATATGGAAGCAAGACATGTGTCTGACATACATATGGAAGCAAGATGTTTGTCTGACATACATATGGAAGCAAGACATGTCTGACATACATATGGAAGCAAGATGTGTGTCTGACATACATATGGAAGCAAGACGTGTCTGACATACATATGGAAGCAAGATGTGTGTCTGACATACATATGGAAGCAAGATGTTTGTCTGAGATACATATGGAAGCAAGACATGTGTCTGACATACATATGGAAGCAAGATGTGTGTCTGAGATACATATGGAAGCAAGACATGTGTCTGACATACATGGAAGCAAGACATGTGTCTGACATACATATGGAAGCAAGATGTGTGTCTGAGATACATATGGAAGCAAGACATGTGTCTGACATACATATGGAAGCAAGATGTGTGTCTGAGATACATATGTAAGTATTGAAGTTAGTGGTGTAACATTTCATCGATAGTATCGATGTTTGCATCGTCAACTACGCGATACGAGTGCATCGATACAAAACACATTTAGGCAATATATCAGGATATTTATATCGCAAGGGTCCACGATACATCGATGTATCGCCACAAGAGACGATATATCCGATACAACTTCAATACTAGTTAAAGTTGTAAGGAGTATTGCATTAGGAATAGGAAGGGAGTCTCTTTGAAATTCTTCTGAATTTTAAAAACAAATTGAACCTTTTAGGAATTTGTTTGTGTCTGTTATCTTTGTTACATGGACAAAGGAGTTGGTGTATAAGTGAAAGAGTGTGAACATGTTTCAAACTCTGTGAACTGTAGAATACTTGTCTTTAGTAATTGAAATATGTTTTAGTTGTTTGACAAATAACACCATTTATTAACATACCACGAGCAGACGTCTTAGCTTTGTTAAGAAAGAGAACAAAGAAAGATAAAATTTAGAAAGCATACTTAAGAGTTTTTTTCAGTGATTCTGAATTCTGATATAAATTACATTCAATTGTTTGTGAAAGCATCGATGCAGAAACACACTTTCCCAAAGGAAACTTGGGTTTCAAACTTATATATGTTAGATCAAAGTATACTGAATATGTTTGACTGTACTTTAAAAGCATTAAATGCTGAAACTTTATTAAATGAACATCTTTTTAAGTGTGTGTGAATGTAACACAAGATCTGCTGTATAACAAATAAAGATTTTAAAGATAAAGTCATTTTATAATATCTATCATATATGTTCTGCTATTAGAAATTGTAAAGTATCGGGATACGTATCGTATCGCCACCATTGTATCGTGATGATAATCGTCTCGCAGGTTCCTTGCCAATACTTTCATGATATATCGGCTCGCCTAAGTAAACTGGTATCGGGATATATCGTCTCGCCACTTAGACCACGATACACAGCTCTAATTGAAGTACTTCACAGCTGGACGTACCTGCTGTGTCTCTGGTCAACAGGAAATATTCTGATACACTTGTCATACCCAGCTGACACGAACTCCCGTCCAGTCGGTGAGTAGTCAACATCCATCACTAAAAAAATACATAATCATGTTCGGTCTTGTAAACTTGAAGTATTATCAACAATGATATTTATTCTTTGAACACTACGTTCACCACTTGATTGCCTTACATCCTGAAACTTGTTTCTCCCCCAAAGGTTTAACTTGAATAAAAAATTGCAAAATCCCATTTTCTTGGGTTGTCTTTCTTCCAAGAGGTCATGGGGCGGTGGGGTAGCCTAGTGGTTAAAGTCACGCCGAAGATCCAGTTTGATTCCCCTAATGGGTACAATGTGCGAAGCCCATTTCTGGTGTCCCCCGACGTGATATTGCTGGAATAATGCTAAAAGCGGCATAAAACGAAACTCACTCACTCACTCCAAGTGGTCATTCCAAGTGCTATCCATTGGAGTTATCTCCCCTTCAGTCTAAGTAAACTGTATTGTTTATAGGCTCAGTATTGTTCGTTACACTGCCATACTGGTTCTAACAAACCCTAGTAGAAGCTAACCTTTGTGCGATCTATGACCGTACAATCAAACACGAGACGGACGAACTGAATAAACCAATCAGACAACAGCTACTGTTTATTCAGTTTGAGTTTCTGAGTGAAGTGCTTTTGAATATTCTTTTTCCCCGGTTGCCGACACTGAACTTTCAACAAACAAAAATCTGCATAAATATTTGACCTGCAGTATATACGCTTAGGGGTTTCTAGTGACATGGCTACTATTGCTTATAATTCCGCAAGATGACATCCTGGAATATTGACCCAAATACTAGTTTCAGCGACTTTTACTCACAGTTATGAAAAATGGCGTTCTCCATGTGTATCACTCGGAAGCAATCGGAGTATAACATTTGGAATTGTTTGAGTACAAATGTTTTCGAGGTAAAAGTTCAAACGGTATGTGCGACTGTTAACTTTTGCGATTTGGTAAGCTGTTTTCTTATTGGTCAAATCAAAAGGTTAGCTGACGTGACCTTCTACTAGGGTTTGTTAGACTCAGTATGGCAGTGTAATGAATAATACTGAGCCTAAGTTTACTCAGACTGGTGGAAACCTAATAATTTGCACGTGACCTAAGGCAGCCAGTCATATTACAGCAATGGATACCGTCCTCGTAAACGAAACCTTAAAGATTGAGCCGAAAGTATGGGGTAAAATCACGCTATTCTGAATATGTTACGCAAAAAGTCACCACCTATATTATGGAACTTAGAGGATGTATCGTGCTGGGTTATGGCCTGTGACAAAAATGCTTCATGCATATATTTTAGTATTAAACATCGTGTCCGAGAGTAGCCGAGATGAAAGCCAAGATGTCACTTGAATTACAATACAAGATCGCTCAAAAAAGATGGAAATAGTAAGTTATAATGTACGTTTGACAACTTTTATGAATACTGTTGTTGATTTTATTCTTTAGTTTATTCAATTTGTTTAATTATTTTTTCTTTGACAACTTTGGACCCATTACAGAAGCATGTGTCCAAGAATTGTCTTTTTTTCAATAACATTGCGAAAAATAGTTTATAATTCTAATCCTGTTGATAATATATGGTCATTTGAAATTTAATAAGTGTTTTCAGACATTGTGAAAAATGATAGATTTGATAAAAGAATCATATGTTAGATAGGTTCCTAAAATTATAGATCATTTTGATGCGACTAAAGCCTGGCCGGTTTACCGGGCCTAGGGTGTCTGGGGACTCATGACGTCTTGGACAGTTTTCCGGCCTACGGTGTTGAATGGGTTAAACTTGACTCTAATGTGACAACATTTAAAAGCAGACTGAAACCACCTCTTCAGCAATGCCTTCCGATGCCCAGATTGCTAGTGCACAGAGCACAACAGACTGTGATTGCTATGCACTATAAGGGTCATTTTCAAAATTGGTAGGATTTTCTGTCCGTTCCAAATATAAAAAAAATCTGTTAACTTAAAAGGATTTTTTTGTACTAGAAAACATATTTAGAAGTTTACTAGTCAGTTAATGTGGTATATCATTAGTCTTGTCATTTTGAAATTTATATTTAGCCACATTTTAGGGTCAAAATTGGCAGATTTGCTCTGTCCGGAGGTGACGGTCCTAATATCAGTGTTTACAAATAATGTAAATATAAATGCAAATAAACAAACTAATTCATATTATGCCAGTTAGGATTGAACAGGCATACTCAAACTGCATTTAATTTTTTTTTTAACTTAAAAAGTTTTTTCTACAAATTGTAACATGCTTGTCCTGTGATTTTGTGTCCTGACCGTTACCAGTGTATGAAATTCCTGCAACAATTTCCCCCTGGATCTGGATTGTAATACTACTTGCTGTGTGTGCTTGAGCTAGCCCCTGTGCATGTGACAGCAGATGAAATAATGAAATTCAACACATTTTGAAGAAAACTGACACCATCAAATAAGTATAAATGTTATGTGTCAACCTTAATTGTCCAGACCGTTACCAATGTATTTTGTGTCAAATATATCTCTTTGTTTTTTCACATTTCAATGGATATGTTGCCCAGAAATGGAAGAGGTGGAAGGCATGTCCTTTGAAATCTTTTAGGGATCATTCATTTTTTTATTTTAGATTTACTTACAAATTGTCTTGACCGTTACTGTCCAAACCGTTACCATTCTGCAAAGTAATGGTTTGGACAGTCCTTGTAACGGTCTGGACAAAATGATTTGTATTTCAAAACATTGTTCATTAATATTTGAAATATAACAAATTTATAATTACTTTAAGGGTTAAGATAAGTGTAAGCATGGAATTTTACTGTTCAAAGGAGTTTTGATGTAGTATCATAAAAAACAGTCTCTAGTAATGGTTTGGACAAATAATAGTAACGGTCAGGACATATCTTTAATAAATTTCATTTTTAAAGAATATGTTCCATGGTGTGATAATAATTTTTTATTTACTTATCTATCTGCTTTAAACAATAAAAAACAAAACGAATTTATCACGTTAAGTTTCTATTTTCTATAAGATCTATAGTCTTTATAAATTAAAGGTAACGGTTAGGACATCTATGGTAACAGTTTGGACAAAATGTAGTAACGGTAAACAACTTTCAGTATTCCAACCTTTAAAGATTTTTTGGGTGTAAACTGTTTTAACTTTAACTGTGAGATATGTAAGGCTACCATTTCCTTTGAATATTTGCTAGGTGCTAATATGTTGGCCAAACCCTTGTATTTGATAAATATATGTTACCATCTCACGATTAACAAAAAGTAAAAGTATCCGAGTGAATGAAAGAAGTATATTTCGTGGAGACTAATATTGCACCATAATATCAACAGCAAAATGATATCTATGCAGTGACCTGTGTAGCATGACCATGTGTACAGTATCATAGTTGTTGCAGTACCTTTCAGAATTTAATCTTTTGCAACTTTTTAGAGGGATAACATTTGTTTGTTACACTGATGTCCTGACCGTTACCAATAATGTCACAACCGTTACTATTCATTCAATCTTCGTTCCCCAAATGCACTCTTCTTTAGATTATAAGTGATTTTCAACCTAGACAGGTGTGTTTTTCTATTCTTTAGAAGCTACAGTTTGTTTTTATTCAAAAGCCTAAGTCCATTCACAAGTTTCATATTGATATAACAAATGTCCAAACCGTTACCACAGCATGGAAGAAAACATGTCACATTTGTTACAAGTTACAATTTCTAATACACATTTCACTGTCTGTCCAAAATTGGGGTTAGCAGTTGAAGTAAATAATATAATTTTTTCCTTTCATGTTACCTGTTTCTATGTTGAATTAAATTGTTTAAGGTTTATGTCCAGCCCGTTACCATTCCTGTCCAAACCGTTACCACTATTGTCCTAACCGTTACTGGTGTTAATTGACTGCTCTAATTAATTCATGATAATACATGAAACACTCCTCTTTATGCTGGTGTCATCAAAAGATGTCCTGGGCTTAGTAGCAGATGTGATTTTTAGACAATATTACCTGCGGAAAGCTATATGCATAATAATGTTTTAGAAAAATGCAATTTTTTGTGGTAAATAAATGAAAGATACAAAATAACACTTTCAAAAATATGTAATTTTTAGAGTAAAATTGATATTTTATACTTATCCTGACTCATGCTTATTGCTTGTCTTCTTCTTCTTGCGAACATAGTGGAACACATGTATCTCCCAATTGAAGTTCCCTTCAATAAAAAATCACTAATTAGTACTCACGAGTTACCTCCCTTCTACAAGCGCGGGAACGAGGGCGCGCCACCTCAACCCATGTGCCTCACTCTCTCATATACTGAGCCCAACACTTGAATTTCCAGGGAAATCCAAAGTGTTATGTGGGGAGGATGGGAGGGCTTACCTCATGAGTCAGGATAAGTATAAAATATCAATTTGACTCTAAAAATTACATATTTTTCCTTATCCTGACTCATGCTTATTGCTTGTAGAATCCAACGGAAAAGGAGGTGGGAATATATAATACTTTGGATTTTAATAATTAGTGATTTGAACTGTGAAGATTGTAATAACCCTATGGGAACTTCATAAAGGCACTGAACTGATGAATTCCTGCTAACTTATCAGCTGCCATATAAAGGTTATTACAATTTACTTATTATGATAAAAGTATATATAACATTAATACAATGCTTAAGACTAATAGACTTAAGCTTGTTAATATGATAGCATAAACTCCTTAGAGTTTGTTAGCAAAAATACTTTTATGATATAAACATAGTACTGAGCTTAAGATGTGATTAAACTTAAGCTTAATATATAATAGCAAAAACTCCTTAGAGTTTATTAGCTAATATACTTTTATGAAGTAAACATAGTACTAAGCTTAAGATATGAATAAAACTTAAGCTATATATATAATAGCAAAACTTCGTAGAGTTTGTTAGTTAATATATTTTATGATATGAGTATAGTACTGTGCTTAAGATATAATTAACTTAAGCTACCTAAATAGCCAAAAAAAACTCTGTAGAGTTTGTTAGCTTATACATTTTATAATGTAACCATAATGCTTAAGAT